AAAATATTCCATGCAAATAATGTACAAAAGAGAGTTGGGGTGGTGTCTTAGTTATCTAGTGCTCCTATAACAGAAATACAAATGGATAGTTTTAACAAACAAATTTATTTTCTCACAGTTTAGGAGGCTAGAAGTCTGAATTCAGGGTGCCGGCTCCAGGAGGTTTTCTGTCTCTGTCAGCTCTAGGGGAAGGTCCTTGTCATCAATCTTCCCCTGGTCTAGGAGCTTCTCAGTGCCGGGACCCTGGGTCCAAAGGACGCGCTCTGTTCCTGGCTCTTCTTGCTTGGCGGTAATGAGGTCCCTCTCCACTCTTCGTGATTCTCTCTTTTACATCTCAAAAGAGATTGACTCAAGATACAATCTAATCCTGCAGATTGTGTCCTGCCTCATTAACATAACTGCTTCTAATTCTGCCTCATTAACATCACAGAGGTTAGGATTTACAACACACAGGAAAATTACATCAGATCGAAAACTGAAGGACAGCCACACAATACTGAGAATCATGGCCTAGTTAAGTTGACACACATTTTTAGGAGACACAATTCAATCCATAACAGGTGGCAATCTTAATACCAGCTGAAGTAGAATTTAAGACAAAATCTGTCAGAAGAGACAAAGCTGAATATTACATAGTGATAAATGGTCAATTAATCAAGAAGATTTAACAATCATATATTTACGCACTCAAATATGTACAGGAAACCATATATGAATAACTGTAAAACTTGTTGCCATCAAGTCCATTCTGACTGTGTATTGCATACATTTTCAAGTGTAAAATAAAACACACAAGGGGCACAGTTATGGATACTTCCTAGACACAAGCAAATACCTCAAGAGATTGGTATACTGGGTTTGAGGGCTTATGACCATAGTCTTGTGGGGCAACTCAGTTAATTGGCATAATATAGCCCATAAAGACAATGTTCTACATTCTAGTTTGGTGAGTAGCATCTGGGGTCTTAAAAAATCATAAGTGGCCATCTAAGATACAACTATTGGTCTCTACTTGTCCAGAGCTAAAAAGAAAGAAGGAAATCAAAGACTCAAAGAAGAAACTAGTCTACAGAACCAATAGTTTATGCAAACAACAACATCACCTACCTTGAGACCAGAAGAACTAGATGGTGTCCAGCTACCACTACCAATTATTCCAACCAGAGACTCAATAGATGATCTTGGATAGAGTGGAAGAAAAATGTAGAACAAAACTCAAATTTCTAAAAAAAGGCTAGACTTACCAGACTGGTAGAGACTAGATGACCCCCTGAGACTATCGCCCTGAGATACTCTTTAAACTTGGAACTCAAACCACTCCCAGGGGTCACCTTTCTGTCAAATGACAGATTGGCCCATAAAATAAATAACATCACCCATGAGTACTGTGCTCCTCAAAATAATTTCTAGATGAAACCAAATGGTTAACATTTACCCTAGACTAAAGATGAGAAGGGTAGGGGGAGGATAGGGAAGCAAGATTTATTGCAACAGAACAACCAAAATGGAAATAACGGAATGCTGATAGATTATGAAGAATGTAACCAATGTCACTGAACAATATTTACAGAAATTGTTAAATGAGACCCTAATTTCTTGTATAAACTTTCACCAAAACACAATAAAAAAAAATTTTTTTAAGGAAAATAAATAAATATATATGCACCCAACAGCGGGGCACCTAACCATACAAAGCAAACACTGACAGAATTGAAAGGAGAAACAGATAGTACTACAATAATAGTTGGAGATGTCAATGCACCACTTTCAATATTGGGCAGAAAGTCTAGAAAGAAAATCAACAGGGAAACAGAGGACCTGAATGACACTATAAACCAACTAGATTTAACAGACGTATATAGGACACTCCACCCCAAAACAGCACAATATACATTCTACTCCAATACACATGAATCATTCTCCAGTATAGACCACATTTTAGGTCACAAAGCAAGTCTTGGCAAATTTTAAAAGATTGAAATCATACAAAATATTTTCTTTGACCACAGTGGTGTGAAGCTAGACAGCAATAACAGAAAAAAACCTGAAAAATACACAAACATATGGAAGTTAAACAACACACTATTAAAACTATCAATGGGTCAAGGAAGAAATTAAAAGAGAAATCACAAATTTCTTAGAGTCAAATGAAAATGAAAGCACAACACACCAAAACTTATGGGATGCAGCGAAGGCAGTACTCAGAGGAAACTTACAGCAAGAAATGCTACATTAAAAAATAGAAAGATCTCAAATTAACAGCCTAACTCTACAACTCTGGGACTTAGAAAGAGAAGAGCAAAGTAAGCCTAAACCTACCAGAAGAAAGGAAATAACAAATATCAGAGCAGAATAAATAAAATCAAAAACAGAAAAACAATAGAGAGAATTAATAAAACCAGTAGTTTATTCTTTAAAAAGATCAATAAAGTTGATAAACCTTAAACTAGACTGACAAAGACAAGACACAAATAATCAAAATAAAAAATGAAAGAGGCAACATTACAAACTGACCTGATAGAAATAAAGAGAATTATGACAGAATATTATGAACAACTATACAGCAACAAACTGGATAACCAAGATGAAATGGACAAATTCTTAGAAGCACAACCTACCCAAACTGACTCAAGAGAAAAATGAAACAGGATCCTTGCCTCACGCCATACACAAAAACGAATTCAAAATGGATTAAGGACCTAAACATGCAAACTAAAACCATAAAATTTTTAGAAAACCCCCCCAAAAAAAGAAAAACCATTGCCGTCAAGTCAATTCTGACTCATAGTGACCCTATAGAACAGAATAAAACTGCCTCATAGGGTTTCCAAAGAGCAACTAGTGGATTCAAACTGCTGACATTTTGGTTAGCAGCCAAGCTATTAACCACTGTGCCAGAAGAACTACCAAATTCTTAGAAGCAGGGGCAATGCCGTCAGGCCTAGCTTTCAACATGGATTATCTAATATAATATCAAAAGCAGAAACAGCAAAAGACAAAATAAATACATGGGCCCACATAAAAATTAAAAATTTTTGCTCATTAAAGACTTTACCAAAAATACGAAAAAATGAGCTACCGACTGGGAGAATATCTTCGGAAACCATATATCCGGCAAGAATCTAATAACCAAAATATATATAAAACTTTAACAACAACAAAAAGACAAATAACTCAATCATAATATGGGCAAAAGACTTGAATAGACATTTCACCAAAAAGGACCTTCAAATGGTCACCAAACACATGAAAAGATGCTCAGCGTCATTAGGCATCAGAGAGATGCAAATCAAAACCACAATGAGATATTATTTCATTCCCACTGGAATAGCTAAGATTTAAAAAAAAAAACAGAAAATAACAAATCTTGGTGAGGATGTGGGGAAATTGGAACCCCAACCCACTGCTGGTGGGAATGCAAAATGGTACACCCATTGTGGAAAACCGTGTGACGGTTCTTCCAAAAACTAAAAATAGAACTACCATATGACCCAGCAATTCATTCCTAGGTATATACTCAAAAGACTTGAAAGCAGAGACTCAAAAAGAGACTTGTACACCAATGTTCACTGCAGCACTATGCACAATAGCCAAAAGGTGGAAACAACCTAAATGCCCATCAACAGATGAACGGATAAACAAAATGTGGTTCATATACACAATGGAATACTACTCAACCAGCAGGAGAAATGAAGTCTTGATACATGCTACAGTATGGATGGACTTGAAGATATGCTGAGCAAAATAAGCCAATCAAAAAAGGACAAATATTGTATGACCTTACTTGTATAAAGAGAAAAGGCGAATGTATAGAGAACAAAGTTTATTAGTGGGTAGCAGGGGTAGAAGGAAGGGGGAAAAGGAGGGTTAACAGTGATGGAAAAATCACATTGATTAAGGGTAGGGCTGCACAGCCAATTATTGTAATTGCTGTCAATAATTTGTACACCTGTAAAAAGTTGTGGGGTAGATACATTTACGACAATGACAAAAAAAAAGAGTGGCTGTTGAGCCTGCTTATGTACAACCAAACACCAAATATATGTACAACAAATGGTATTTGCTTCCTTGGTTTGGAGGTTTAGGGTCATGGTTTTATGGGATATCCCAGTTAATTGGCATAATAAGGTATTTAGTTCTTCTGTTCTACCTCCTAGTTCGTTGCTTAGTGCCTGGGATCTTAAAAGCTGGCAAGCGGCCATCCAAGTCACAACAATTGGTCTCTACTCACCTGAAACAACAGAGGAAGGAGAGTTAGGAATAGGAGGAGAAAATGGAATGTGTGGCTAATTGCCTCCATGAACAACTGCCTCCTTTGCCATGAGACCAGAAGCATTGGATGGTGCTGGGCTACTATTCCTGAACATTTTGATCAAAGATTCCATAAAAAAGGAGGAAGAGGCAGGACAGAATTTCAAATTTTCATGGACTCTAGACTTTCTGGAGCCATGGAGGGTGGAAGAACTCCTGAAATTATTGTCCTGAGATAATCTTTGACCCTTGAACCAACAATATCCCTTGAAGTCGTCTTAAAACCGAACAATAGTTTAGCTTAACTAGTACAAAAAAAGGTCTGCCTTGAGCATTATGCTCTTTTAAGATCTATATGGGATCAAACTGACAATAGCAATTCGAAAGATTGGATGGGATCCTTAGGGGGCAGTGAGTTTATGTTAATGAGGAAGGAACAACTCAGAAAAGGCAGGTGAGAATGATTGCACAACTCAACGAATGTAATCAATGCCACTAAATTGTACATGTAGAAACTGTTGAACTGGTATATGTTTTGCTGTGTATATTCTCAACAAAAACAAATAAAATTTAAAGAAAAAAATCTAAATAATAAAAAAAAAGGAAATAAAGTATGTCACTTTAGTTATAGGGAGCACGTAAAGCACTTAGCACAGTGCCTGACACTAAGCAGGCACTCAACAAAACAGTCTGTATTAATGGGCTCTCTCTTTGTCTCTCTCTTTGCTCTTCCTATGTCTCCTACCCAGCATCGTGATGACCACCTGCTCCACCTTCTTTGCCCTGGGCATGATGCCCCTCCTCTTGTATATCTATTCCACGGGGATCTATGATGGGGACCTGAAGGACAAGGTGCCCTACGGAGGCATCATGATCTCACTGGTCCTGATTCTCATTCCTTGCAGCATAGGGATCTTCCTCAATGCCAAGCGGCCACAGTATGCGCGCTACATTATCAAGGTAAGAACCTGGGGACCTACCATCATCTCAGTGTGTGGCTTGAGGCAAGTCACTCAGGTTTTTTCTGTGTCAATTTCCTTCCTGTTTTTTTTTTTTAAAAAAAAAAAAAGACTATTATTGCTACTACTACATCTACCTCATGGGATTTTAAGTAGTACTTGGAAATACTTTAGAAAAGTTAGGGGGAAAAGATTTAAAAACCACTACACACACAACTATAAGCTATATTCACTATGTTAGTAATAAAATTAAACTTGTACTAAGCACCTACTAGATGCTAAGTTTTATGCTAGACACTGAGGAATAACTGTCCTCAAAGAGTTTAAATTGATTTGCAGAAACTGAAGAGTAAAATCAGTTACTGGCAGAATGCAAGGAGATGAGATTAGTGAGGGCTGGGGTGGTCAATGAAGGCTTCTTGGAGGGGAGGGGGCTTTTACACCAGATCATAAAGGGTAGATTTGATAAGCCTGGAGAGGAGGCCGAATAGAGGAGTTCAGAGGAGTACCAAGGGCAAACTTGGCTGACATGACAAGAAGTTAGGGGGAAGAGACCAGGGGAGAAGAAGAGATGTAGGTGTTCCCACAATTTCAGGAGAGGCACAGGAAGGAGTGAAGTGGGTAAAGCCACAGTGGGTTTGGGGGGCACTGTGGTCATAGACAGGGTATCATGCCATACCTTGTCCTCAGAAGAAGCAAAGATCAACAGTCTCTTAGAGTGCTGCCCTGATGTCTCCACCAACTTTTGTGACCTTGGAGCTCGGTCCCTGTCAGTCTCCCCTCTGGCTTGCTGTTCATCCTCCAAAACCCCAGGGCCAGGGCTTTGTCCTGATTCTCAGGAAGGACTTGGCCACCTGACATCCTGAGGCCGTGCTGCTTGGGGACTTGGCAGCAGCTGTGGACCTGCGTCCACTCCCCTCACTCTCATTTTTTAAATATCTCTATATCGGTTCTTCACAATCAGCACTGGCACAGGTTCACATCTCTCCTATCTTTAAAAACAAAAAACAAAAAAAAACCCTCATTGGGTTCCCACTTCCCATTCCAGCTAACTCTTTTTCCGCTTCCTAGCCAGGCTTCAGAAAAACTCACACACATACTACACCTTCCATTTCTACCATGCTATCACCAAACCGCTCTCATGAGCAAGCCCTCAACAGTTTTAGTTCATTGAATCCCTCTCCTCTCCAATGTCTGCCTTCCACCTAGCATCTTGATGACCACCTGGCTCTACCTTCATAGACAAATCCAATGACACTGCTCAATTCTTCCTTGGCCTTGTAGCAGCGTTTGACACGACTGACCATGGCCTCCTTCTCAAAAGCCTTCTCCTTCAGTGTTGGTGACTCCGAGCTCTCCTGCTACGTCTTTGGCAATTATTTTTAGACTCCCTTATGAATGTCTCTGCTGAAAGTTGCCACTTCTCTGGATTCAGTCTGAGCCTTCTGCTTTCCTTACCAGACTTCCCCTTGCCCAGGATGTCCCCACCCCTAGATCTGATCCATCTCAGGTCTGCAACTACCATCTATCTACAAGCAAATGACTTCCAGAACAGTATCTTTAGTCCTGAATTCTCTAACTTCAAATCATTTTATTAACTGTCAGACCTTTCTACCTGAATATAACTCAGGCATTTAAAACTTGGTATGTCTTACATTAAAATCATCTCCTCCCTGTGTTATCTTGTCAGTGAATGGCACTGGATCCACCCAACTGCCTGAGCCAGAAACCTGAAAGGCACTCAACATCCCTCTTTTTGCCCTCTCACAGTCATCTATCAGCACCTGTCAATTCTACCTTCCATCGTTTGAATACATCCATTCCTCTCCACTGTCTTCATTCAGGCCACCAACCTCTCTCACTAGAAAACTGCAATAGCCTTCTCACTGGGCTCTCTGGCTGTTTTAACTTGAGAGTGGAGATGTAAAGTACAAATTGTATCATGTCACTCCACTGCTTAAAGCCCTCATCGGTTCCTTGCTCCCTTCCAGGATAGAGTTTAAATTGCTTAATGTGGCTCCTCGGGCCTTTTTTGATCTGACCTTAGCTCTCCTCTCCAGTCTCAGCTCTTTTCTCTTTTGCACATGCCTTCCTTCCATCTGGACCACTCCCCTCCCAGTTCCCCACTTCACTCACATTTCACTAAACTCACTTCTACTCACCCTTGAAGGCTCAACACAAATAGCTTCCTCCAGAAGCATTCCCTAACTTCCCAAGCCAGGGAAGGATGCTTGTCCTATTTGCTCCCATAGAAGCACCTGCCCCTTGTAACATTTATCACACTGTGTTATAATTACCTGTTTGTTTTTATTCCCCACTCACCTGCAAGTTCCTCAAGAAACAAGATCCAAGATTGGGTCTTTTAATTACTACTGAATCCCCAGCACCTATCACAATTCCCTTCACAAAGCTAATGCCTGAGAATAAAGAAATAAAGGAATGAAGAATAAGCCCTGTTCCTGCTACCTGTGTCTTCCATACATCCGCAGGAAAACAAATAGTGTTGTTTGTCTCCATCATTTCATTTATTCAAGATAGTTTTGGGGAATATAAGAAAAAAAAATAAACATATGAAGTGATCACAGAGTCATTTAATGCACTGCCCCCATTTTATAGGTGAGAAAACTGAGGACCAGAACCTCAAGTTCACACTGCTAGTGACAACTGACATTGGAACATGTGCCTCCTTTTTACCTCAGAATAACTTTAATTAAAAATGTTCTTTTTGTGATGTAAACTTTCACCTAAAGCACAAAAAAAAAAAAAGAAATATTAATTTAAAAAAATGTTCTTTTAAGGATGCAAAAAGTAGAATCTGATCTTAAAGCTGGAAAGGGCTTCAAGATAAAGTCCAGTCTCCTGCCTTATTCCCGTCTTACAGATAGAATAACTGAAGTCCAGAGAAATTATTGGCAGAGCCAGGATTATCAACCAGCCTCCCATTCCTGTTGTGTTGCCCATTCCGCTACTCAATTGCACAACAAAGATGGAGTCAAAATGACCCCAGAAACATTAAGAGCTAAGAAATATCTGGGCCAGAAAGACAGGCACCAATGACAAGGGACTGCGTCTGAAAGGTAATCTGCAAATCATAGGCGTTCCTTGGACCCACTTTGGCTCTGGTTAAACCTCCAGGTTTAGACAGTAAGACCAACAGCTCCAACTTGTCATGCACTCACAAGCTGGAATTATACCTTTAAGGATGCAAGCAAATGCATGGGTCAAGATGCAAAGGCTGAGGTTTCCTTGTTCTTATGGTTCTTTGAGGGTGGTGCACATCCTTCAGCTCCCTGTCCCATAAAATATAGTGAGCGCCAACCTGAAAAATGAGGAAACAAGGTCCCAGCCTCTTGGTACACTTAACCTTCCTAGAACTTTTCAGACTAAAATAACCCCTAATAACTGGCTCATAGAAGAAGGTATCTGCTCAAAGTCTCCTTAACCAGTTGCATTCCCTAGTGGAAGGTCACATCTAGAAATGCAGAGATACAATTTCAGGAATGCCTCATTTTGACGGGCAAGTTAACACTTTAACTTAGCCGTGCAAGGGTTTAATCAAAGGCTATATATAGTTAGGTTGATGAACCTGATAATGAGTCCAGGAGCCACTTTCACCATAAGCCATCCACCACTTCTTTAATATGTTCCATCATTCCATTGACTCTACTACTCTACCTATGCTTTTCCCATAGCTGCTGCTACTGATGAACTCCTCATTCTCCTTTGTCTTGTAGCTTCTGCCAACTTGTGGCTTCTGCTGTTCTTAGGCTTGTGTCTTTTAACTTGTGTCTCTGCTATTGCTTCCATCCCTGTAATTCTACAAACTCTGAGAGGATCTGATTGGTTTGGCCACTCATCAACCTATGTAGACCACCCTCGCAGGCAGAATTTGGGCCAGGTTATCTCTTGGGCCACTAGCAAGCCATGAGTGGGCACTCACCCCAATCAGCTGTGACCAGGGCAGTTAAGTTAGATGGTACAAAACACGGTGATTCATGAAGCAACCACCCAGGGGCACCTGCCTCAGCGGGAAGCTGTGGACATGAGATTTCCACACATGGTAGAAGTGAGAATGGCAGGAAATTTTAGGATGTTAAGTTCCTTTCTTTTGGTTATAATAGCAGCTACAATTTAGTGCTTCCTATATGCCAGGCCCAAAATTTTTATATACATTGCTTCACTTAATTCTCAAAACCACTTAGTGTCATCAATATTATTCTCTTCATTTTACTCATGGAGGCAGAATCTCAGAGAGATTCAGTGACTTGCCAAAGTTGATACTGCTAGAGACTGGCAGAGCCAGCTTGCATACCTGGGTCACACCAAAGTCTGTGCTCATAACCACTCCATCGCCCACAAGAATGGGAGGAGAGTGAGGTGATGAGAGTGACTGCCAATGCAGAAGACGATGGCTTCTGGTTTCATGGACAATTCCTGTAGCCCAAAGCCCCCTTATTATTACTCTGTTGATGGAGTAAAAATTATTGGTCACTGGGTAGAGGATAAGTCCAAAAGGAAGAAATCTAAAAGAAGAAATCAATTCAAAATGCAAGGGCAAACAGGGCAGCCCATCAGTTAATATGAAGTGTTTCAATAAAACTTGAACATGTGGCTATTGATTAGACCTGTGAAAGTCCTGCCTATCCTGGGATATGACCCCTAGTCAGTACAGGTGATGTTTTATGTGATCACATCAGTTGCATTATGGATTAAAAACACAGAAATGCAAAGCTGTGCAGCTGAAATTTGAGCAGTTTAAGTAAATGTTAAAAAGCCACAACTTTGTGAATGTAATCAATGCCACTGAACTGTACACTTAAAAATGGTTAAAATGGCAAATTTTATGGTATATATTTTACCACAATAAAAAATTTGTTACCAAAATGCTACATATGTGAATGAACTGGAAATTGAACACATGTAACCATTATGAAGTAACAAGGTAAGTTTGAGAAAAGCTTGCTATATATTTCTTTACTCAGACTATAACAGGGTCAAAGAACTTTAAATGGATGCATACATGTTTATCAGTTTGGCGAGTCATTCTCTAAAATGCAGACATGGAAGTACACTTTTGAGAGCTTGCATTCTTATGAAAAATCTTAACATTGTAATTTTCATCAGAAATCTACCTACTGAAAATGTTAAATGGCATGTAAGCTGCAACTGTAATTTTAAAATAAAATAAATGAAAGCATACCATTGATCCCAATAAATGTTGCCTCCAAAGTAAGTTACCTCGGTAGGGTGGACTCTCCCCAGAGATGCTATTATTACCCAAAGACATTAAGTTCTCTGTCTGCCAAGAAGAAATCCAGAAAAGACGGAATATAAAGGTCTTTCATATTCCCTTCCACTTCAAATACCATATTTTTAAGAAATTAAACTGTTTCTACCTGTCTCCACCACCCTTCTATTTGTGTTTTGTTCTTGTCCTCATTCCCAGGGAGGGATGATCATCATGCTTTTGTTTACTGTGGCCATCGCAGTCCTCTCTGCCATCAACGTGGGCAAAAGCATCTTGTTTGTCATGACACCACCCTTGCTGGCCACCTCCTCCCTGATGCCTTTTATTGGCTTCCTGATGGGCTACATTCTCTCTGTCTTCTTCCATGTCAATGAACAGTAAGTATTACTTTAGGTCCCACTATTCCATAAGGCTCATTCTTGTCCCGGTCCCTCAGGAAAAAGATAGGAGCTAGGAATCTGATACGTGGGGAAGGCATTTTCCTAGCAATATGTTCAAATGTTCCAAGTAAACAAGGAACTTTGGACTGTGAGAAATATTGGGGAGGGACTGTATTGAAGGCAGTAGAAATGTAAGACAAAACCGGAGAACAAAGGCATCTTATCACCCAAACTGTAATAGCTAATCACAGAGTACCACCCTCCAGAGCCACAGATTCCATCTTCTCCTGCCCAACTGCCTTGTAGTTAATGGCAATGGGGCAGTTTCATCTTATTGACAGGTATTCAGAATACACCTTTTGCTTTGCCAATTTTCCTCTTCTGCGCTAGACTTTGGTCCTGACAAGGACACAATCTGGTGACAGTCAGCTCTCCTAACGGCACTCAAGAGCTAAAGAAGCTGTGGAACTCTGCTATAGTCTAATCCAGTTCACAAACACAACCACCATTTTAGGGGAAGACTCCATTTGAGAGCATCGTGTGGGATCCTCAGGTATCCTGTCTGAACAGAGCAGTACCACATTTCAGGGATGTGTCCCCTTTTCAGCCATAGTAAACAAACACCCAGGAGTCTAAATAAAAATTATCATCCATTTTTAAAACCATGCAAACTTAACATAGAACAAATTACTACAGGATACAGAGGTAACACATGGCGATGTAGTGAGCCAAAAGGTTGCCAGCGACAAATCAGTGATGTGGATTTTCATCAAATAGGGTGATGCAAATCCTCAGATGATCACACCACCAAATGTCATCACAGTATGCTCACTCAAAATAAATGCTACCATGGTTCTTGGTTTTAAAGTGGGTAACATGTATTTTAATACACTAAATTTTAATGCAATGAATTAAATGTGTATTCACTAAACATAAACATCCCATTCCTCAATTCATAAAATGTAAAGCATAATCAACAGAATGTTTTCCAAAAATGGAGCTGACTTGAGTCCTTTTTTTTAAAAATCATCATGCATTTTGGAGTTAATGATGTCGAAGCCAGAAACATTTGGGACAGGAACAGGTCCTGAACACTTCAGATAATTGTCCCCCATATAAGATCAACATAACCACTGAATACTAATTCACTGCCATCCCTTCACCAGGCAGACATTTCTCCAGATTTTAATATGACAATCCTACAATAGTAGACAAAACATACATTCCCAAGCTACTCAAAAAATCTCACAAAAATTCTGACATGAATTTACTAGTCACCATCCTCCACAGGGCTAGATTAGTGTTTTTGAGAGATGGGTCAACCTGGATTTTCTGGAACCCACATGCATTTCACACACCTGGCTCACATTCACCTTCCTATGCAGGACTGTTCAGTGGGTCCTAGAGTGTCTGGGACGGAGGGGAAAGGCAAGGAAACTTGTGCCCTCACATCTCTTCTGATGGTAGATGGGTCTGTTTTTTTCACCTGCACAGGTGCAGACGCACTGTGTGCATGGAGACCGGTTGCCAAAATGTTCAACTCTGCTCCACCATCCTCAATGTGACCTTTCCTCCTGAAGTTATTGGACCACTTTTCTTCTTTCCTCTCCTCTACATGACTTTCCAGCTTGGAGAAGGGCTTCTCTTCATTGTCATCTTTCGGTGCTACCTGAAGATCAAGCCTCCCAAGGGTGAGTATTGAATCACCCGAGTTCTGCTTCCATGCTGGACCTGCTCTTGCCAGCAAGCCTCCAGCAGGGACTGTTTGGATAGCTGACTCCTATAAAGTCACTAGGAACCAGATACCATCAAGAATTACTGAAGGGACCTCACAGAGCCAAGGATACTTCCATTAACTGCCTCCATCTCTGCCTTCTAGCTGGGAGAACCAAACGGTGGGCAGAGTTTGCCTCATGAGACATCGGCAATTTTGACTGCTTTGTCTAAGTGGGAATAGGGCTCAGGATGAGGCAACAAGATAGAACTGCCTTGGATATTTGAGTTTTATGATTAGTTATGTGAAAGGCTCCTATCCACAAGAGTTGGGGAAACTTCTGCACTCTTCAGGACCAGGTTCTCATGTCCTGCAACCAGGTCAGAGTCCCAGCACTATTGGCATCCCCACGAGGGGAAACTTAATATTAAAGCAATGAGGCCTAATAACCCCAAACCAAGCTGATTCCTCAACTCTGGTTACACTATAAACCATTAAGCACAAGCCCGTTAAAGTGATTATCACGTAATAAACTTATTTCTGAATAACTTCCTAGCTGATGGCACTTCTTTTTCTAAGGTGCTCAGAGTATTTCATTATCTTCAGAATACAATCAAACCTCAAGAAAGCCCACTGTGAGTCCCTTCCTCAAAGTGCACCTTAACCCCAAATAGCTTTTTTCTCAAATCCAGGAAGCACAACCTTACCTGGTAACACATTTCAGTAATTTATAACTTTAAAACACCGTCATATTCTTCCTAGTCAACCAAATCCTTCCACTGCCTCATTTCCTATGAACTTAAGGGCCCCTTCAAGATCCTTTCTAGACCCTGGAAATTGTGATCGACACTCTAGAAGAAAAGTTACAACTTCCCCTGGAGGCATTCAATATTTTATAGTAGCAAATGTAGGTTCTCTCTCTCTTTAAAATTAGCTAAAAATCTTGGTCAAACAATTAAAAATAAACCATAAACGGCTAACCACATTCCAGCAGCTTTAAGTGGAGTTGTGGAAAACAAATCTAGTCTGATGTTTATCTGAGAGTTCAGAGATCTGTTGCCCAATGAGGTCCTGCCCCCTAGAAAAAAGGGATGGGAGAGAAAGTTCCAGATTTGAAGTTTGAACGCGCTCAAATGACAAATACTACGAGTCCTCATGCTCTCAGGATGGAAAAAGAACTTCTCTCACAATGCATATCAGAAGACAAGGGGGCACCACTTGCAAAACTAAGCTAAAGCAGCTATTTCTTTGGAGCAAATTGGTTGTTTAAGGACTCCAAACAGCTGTACTCAGAGTGAAGACTCTCACAAAAGTTTTTGTGCTTTTGATCCCTGAACCCTTCTACCACATGATGGTAGAACAGATGGGAGAACAGAAAAGGTGGACCCTGACTCCTGTCTTCACAGCTCCTCACTACCTTCAGGCGGACAAGGGAAGACCAAACACAATGAAACCCAAGGAGGGAAGAAGTTTGCCCTTGGGAAGACTCTCCTAAAGCTCTGTGTCCCCTCCTTGCTCTGCTATAATGCATCAATCATCTTTGCTTACATATACTTATTTCTCCCATTGTTATTTTATGTACAATTAATTTGAAGATGGGTTGATGAGGCCTTAATACTCTAATTTCTTAGGCCTTTTATTACTAGTATTAACCACTAAGTTGGAAAAGTAAACCTTTCTTGAGTTTAAGAGTAAATTGGGAAGGAGAGATGGTAAAAACAAAATATATACATATCAGCACACCCTAGAGGTGAATCGGTTTATCTTCCAGATTGAACAAGCTTTGTATTAACTACTGCTTTCTCCCTACACTCCCCTCATCTTCTCTACCTTTAGATAAAACGAAAATAATCTACACAACAGCTGCCACAACTGAAGAAACAACTCCAGAAGCTCTGGGAAATGGCACCTATAAAGGGGAAGAGTGCTCCACTTGCACAGCCTAGCCCTTCTCCCAGTGGCCTGGATCTGGTCAGGCCATTCAGAAAGTCAGTGGTATTCTTCAGAGAACAAAAATAAACTTAACTCATCTTGTCTGAATAACATTTCTTCAGCAGAACACATCAGAATCATCAAGCCTTGGCCTAGAGAACACAGAGGATGTCTATACCAGAAGCCTCATCTACCCCCAGCTTAGAATTTGACTCTTGTTTAAAAAGAAAAAAAAGACTGTACAGTGACAGACTGTAAACTCTATACATAAAGGCAGGAACCAAATCTGCCTTTTGCCCCTGGATCTCTCTAGAACTGTACCTGATAAGCAAATAGGCACTCAATTTCTGAACTAATCAATAAATGGACTGTTATTTACTGTAAAATCAAATACCTAAATCCTATTCCAAATATTGGGACCTATAAGGGAAATCAATGCTCAAAAATGCTGTAGGATTAGCAGACTTCAGAATTTATATCTAATCTAAAAAATTCAGGTCCCATTCTTTCCCTTCTGGCATCACTAATTGAATTAAAAGCTTCTGTGAATATCACAAAATAGGACAAGAATGGAAAAGAGTAAGAATCAACTCATGACAACTCAAAGTAACTGGACAACAAATCTCAGAGCTGCTCTCAGATAATGAAATGAAACTGAATTTTTGGAGAATACAATCCCAGTACTAGAGGAGAAGCTAGAAAACAAGATAAACGACAGAATTTTATTTCAGTAATAATCTGATCATCAGTTCTTTAGTTATCAGTGGTTTCCACCAGCTCCCCTAAAACTCGAATACTACAAGCTATTGCTAAACGAGTGGTTTCCCAATTCAAAGAATCCTAAATTAGCTACAATTCTCAAATTTCAATTTTCCTCCAATAAAATGTAAACATTTTGACATAACTCATATGCAAACAAGTGTTAGGTTAAAGATTTATGAACTGATACTAATGTGGAAATAGCTGATTAATGAACAACTGATACTAACATGTGGAAACAGCTGACTATGCCAGTATTTGTGATTGTCTATTTAGTATGATTAGGTACAACTGAAACCAACAAAAATTACGTATGGCGGACTTCTGGCAACATGGCACTCTAGGCAGAAGCACCACGCCATCCCTCCACAGCAAAGATCTGAAAAACAAAGCCAAACAGTGAAAACAGCAATCCTGAAACCCTAAAACATCAAAGAGATAAAAGAACTCAGCCAAGCACCAAATGGAGTGAGAAACTGACAAGGAACGGAGAGCGAGAAGTGATTCATGCAGAGATCCCCTATCAGCTAACACAGCGTGGATCCGCCATTTTGGACTCCTATCAGAGACCAGCAAATCCGGGGTACAAGAAAGCAGCTTCACAGAATTTCTAGCAGGAGACAGAACACCAGTAACTGGCAGTATATGCTTTCCCACCCCGCACCCTTCTTTGCTCCCACTCGGTCTCCTCTGCTTCTCGTAGCCACAGTATATTGGCCAGGAAGCACTGGCTGACTCCGAGTGCCATTTATTTGCTGCTGGAGTTAACTTTTTTCCACTTCTTTTGACTTCTTCCTTACCTCTCACCACCTCCTCCTCCTCTCACTCAAATACCTGGCTCCGGGCGCCATCTTTGCTTCTTCCTAAGGGGCTGTGGAGCTCCGAGTGTGGAACTGCTTCCCGGTTTGTGCTGTCACGCTGGTGGGGTTCCAGGGCTTTTACTGAATTGTTTGCTTTCTTTTCTTGTGTTGGGAGCCCGTTCTGGCTGGGCAGTGCTACGTGGCTTGGGACCTACCCCCTCAGCTTGTGCAGACGTGCAGAGGGATCCCTGTGTGCATCTTTTTTCATGGTTTTTTTTATTTTTTGGAGGGTTTTTGTTTTCTTTTCCCTCCTTTTCCATTTCTGTCTTTTTTCATTACTCAGTTTCTTGTCTCTCTATACCTTCTTTCTCTTCCTGCCCCCTGAATACCTCTACACCTTCTAGCCAGGCTGTACTTCAACACCTGGAGCAACTTCCCCAGACCTTGTAGCTTCACCGGTGGGATCCCTAGGAACTTTGCTTTTCTTTTTTCTAATTCTTATTCATTTTTTTTTTCTTCTTCTTCCCCTTGTTTTCCTCCATTTCACAGTCTCTCATCTTTCCACTCCAACCGCAAGCTTCCCTAACAATCTTGTGTTTTTGGCTCCTGTTCCTCTCTCCTCTCTCCCATACCCATCTTAGCTCTACACATCACAACCTCCCCCCTCCATCCTGCCTACCTACACCATGCGCTTAACATCACACCACCAAGCAGCACAGGCACAGCCTACCATAACCTACCCTGCACTGATTACCGACACGCCCTGGTGGCTGTAGTAAGTGTCACAAACAACCCATCCCAGCAACTCCTCTTCAGCTATACCTACCCTGCTGTACCATATCTGAGCAACAGACCCTACCAATTGGAGAAGGAAGTGAAAAGTATCATGCCCACAGATGAGCAAACAACAAAGAACACACAACCCGCCTGCTCAGATATAGCCAAATAAAAAAACAAGGATGAAACAAATCTACAATCAATAAACGAGAAAAGTAACTACTGAATACCCCGAAGACAGCAGACAATATCCAAAACATTTACAAAAACAGGACAGGATGGTTCCCGCAGGCGTCCAAAACAAAACACCGTATGTCTTTCCAGTGAAGAAAAGGCACTAGAACTACCTTATAGGAAATTCAAATCTCTAATACTCAGAATTATCGAAGAGTTGAAGCAAAAAGCAGACAAAGATGAGGAAAAAACAGACAAATTCATGGAAAAGGCAGACACATTCATAGAAAATACAAGCAAAAAAAATGGAAGAATTCAGGACAATAATGCAGGAACAAAATGCCAAAATAAATTCACAACTAGAAATGATACAAAAACAATTACAAATCCAAAAAATAAACAACAATATTTCAGAAATGGACAGTGTCATAAAAGGGCTGAGGAGCAGACTTGAAATGATGGAAGACAGGATCAGTGGAATTGAAGACAAACACTTGGATACAACTCTGAGAAAAAATCAGAAAAAAGTGATGAAAAATGAAGAGACCCTGAGAATTATGTGGGATACAATCAAAAGCAAAAATCTGCAAGTGATCGGAGTTCCAGAACAGGGGGAGAAAACAGAAGACACAGAGAGGATCACTGAAGAATTGCTGACAGAAAACTTCCCCAATATCATAAAAGATGAAAAGCTGACCATCCAAGAAGCTCAATGAACCCCACACAGGACAGATCCCAAAAGAAAATCACCAAAGCCTATCATAATCACACTTGCTAAAACCAAAAACAAAGAAAGAATCCTGCGAGCAGCTCAAGAAAAACAAAAAGTCACATACACAGAAGCAATAAGACTAAGTTTGGATTATTCAGCAAAAACCATGCAGGCAAGAAGGCAATGGGATGACATATATAAAACCTTGAAAGAAAAAAATCTCCTGCAAAACTCTCATTCAAATATGATGGTAAAATTAGGTCATTTCCAGATTAACAATTAAGGGACTATGTAAAAACCAAACCAAACTTTCAAGACTTATTAAAGGAAGTCCTTCAATCTGAGAACAAACAATATCAGATCACAGGCTGAATATAGGACACAGGATTGTACTAGCCAGATACCAATCTAGGAAATGAACTCTTATAAATACTATCCAAAACCAAAAGAATTACAAAAGGGAACCAGAGAGGTTAATCTGTAAATGACAACAGCATCAGAACAATAAAAGAGAGAATAAACAGTACAGATACAGAACCTTCTAATGGAGAGAAAGTCAAGCAATACCAAGTAATAATAATAGACTGGTTCTCTCAGTAAAGACATAACCTACAAAAACAAAAGAAATGAAAAAAAACCCACATACAAAAGGAACTCAGCACAGGAAAGTCAGAGGAACAAAACTAGAAAACATTATGCTGAGTGAAATAAGTCAATCACAAAAGGGCAAATATTGTATGAAACCTCTACTGTGTAACTCATGTAAAAGTTTACACACAAAGAAACAACTACCTTTGTCGCTTACGAGGGATGGGAGGAATGGGGGGTAACTAAAAAGATCATGGAAGCTCCACACACTTCCAAACTCCGAGGGACTGAATTGCTGGATGGAGAGCTGTGGGGACCATGGTCTTGGGGAACATCTAGTTCAATTGGCATAACACAGTTTATAAAGACAATGTTCTATATTCTACCTTGGTGAGTAGCGTCTGGGGTCTTAAAAGGCTGTGAGCAACCATCTAAGATAGTCCACTGGTCTCACCCCTTCGGGAGCAATGGAGAATGAAGAGAACAAGACACAAGGAAAAGATTAGTTCAAAGGACTAATGGACCACAGCTACCAAAGCCTCCACAAGACCAAGCCCAGTACAGCTAGATGGTGCCTGGCTACCACCGACTGTTCTGACTGGGATCACAATAGAGGGTCCTGGACAGAGCTAGAAAGGGATGTAGAACTGAATTCTGACTTACAAAAGACCAGATCTACTGGCCTGACTGGAGAAACCCCGAAGAGTATGGCCCCTGGACACCCTTTTAGCTCAGTGGTGAAGCCCCTCCCAAAGTTCACCATTCAGCCAGGGCTTGGACAGCCTCATAAAACAAAACAGGACTAATGAGGAACAGCAGTCCAGGGACAAGGACTAGAAGGCAGGAGGGGACAGGAAAGCTGGTGATAGAGAACCCAAGGTTGAGAAGGGACAGTATTCACGGCATTGTTAAACGTTGTCACAGAGCAGTATGTGTACTGTTTAATGAGAAATTATTCTGCAAACCTTCATCTAAGGTACAAAAAAAAAATTATCTATGTGAGATCAAATTGACAACAGCAACTCAAAAGGTTTGATGGGAAGCCTAGGGGACAGTGAGTTGAAGATAATGGTAATGGAATAATTTGGAAACGGACAGTGAGAATAGCAGCACAACTGGAAGAATGTAATTGATGTCACTGAATTGTACACGCACAGATTTCTGAAATGGTTTATCTTTGCCTATGTATATTTTCACCAAAAAAACAGTCCTCAAGGTCGAGAAGATAGTGTTGACATGTTGTGTGGTTGTTAACCAGTGTCATAAAACAATATGTGTACTGTTTAATGAGAAACTGTTCTGTAAACCTTCATCTAAAGTACAATTAAAAAAAAACATATATATATGTACAGCATCAATTTGACATGTGATTGACTACCAAATACTCTCAACACCAGAACAAGTTTAAGAATCACCAACTTGGGTCCATCAACACTCTTAAAAATACGTATTTGTGAAAAAACCTACCACCTATCATTTGCATATTATACACGTTATCTGTTTGTTATTTTCTCCAATAACTACCTCAGATCATCTGCTAAAAGACTTGGTTAAGTAGAGCAAAAAAAGTAAAACAAAAAAGCTTTAGTAGTAGTTTTTTGAGGAAGGCAGGAATGAACCAAGGAGACTTGGCACAGTTAATGCTCAGCTGCTAACCAAAAGGTTGGTGATTTGAACCCACCAAGAGACTGCGATGAAGACCTGGCAATCTGCTTCCAGCCAAGAGAACCTGACCAACAGTTCTGTCACATGAGGGCACTGCGAGTTGTAATCAACCTGACAGCACCCAACAAGGGCTGAACTTAAAATGTATTACCCTCAAACCTTCCTTAGAGAAATTAGATAAAAGGAATATACGGAAAACAGAGGTTGTGTCATGTCCTACAAAAGTTAGTCCTAGAACTTTGCTTGGAATTAGACCCATGTGTCTCCTGGTTTATACAGAACCTGGTTGTGAAAACTCAAGCTAATGTATGAGTTCAAATACCCAACCCATTCCTTTTGGAACATAACACAATCATGTCTGCCATTTTTTCCATGGAAGGGTATCTTAATTCCCTATGTAACAAATGTTTATACTAACAGCAATAAGCCTGATATTTACTTACTTAAGGGTAAAGGAAAAAAACTTGCAACATCGTAGTATGTCAAAAAACTATGTACCATATTGTCCTGAGTTACCATATCTGAGAGGCCGAACAAAAAAAACTGCCTCTCCTCCCACTTTGTTACCAACTTTCACACCACCAGCCAAGACAACTTTGGCTCACATGTGTGTGGCCCTCAAATACACAACAGAAAATCCTACGTTCTGAAATTAAAAAGATTCAAATAAGCCCTGTTCCCTTCCTCCAAGTAAAATTAACAGGTAGATCACACAAACTCCTACCAGAATCAGCCTCATCTATAAACAATCAGCTTTACAATTTCAGGGCATAAGTTCTATAGTCTTATACAGCAAGAAGTGACCTTTATTCAAGAATATCAAAAATCTACCTCCAAATGGAGATTTCCACTCCCCACTTTGGGGAAATCAAGATAAATTTCTCTAGTGCTTTTAATTTCACTTTCCTCAAAACCCTGCAATGCTAGGACAGGAAAACACACACCAAGAGTGAAAGCAGAGCATTAATACCAGTCCACCTTCATACTTGTCCTCTTTTGGAAAAAGTCCCTCTTATAAAATGGTGGTACCATATAGTAAATAGTTTTGAAAATGCAGCAGATATACAGGTAAGACACCAAAAACAGTGTCTGGCAACTATAATTGAATATTAAGTACCTGTTACTCACTGTTACCAAACATCTATCTAGAGTAATACCCAAACAGAGAACCAAGAAACTCTATAATCAAGTCTCCAACAAGATTCCTAGAAGAAACAATAACACACGTTTCATGCAAGCATTTAAGGGCAGCGTTTGAGGGCTCCGGTATTAAGTCCCTAATACTTTAGATATAGGACCTTAGGTAGCTTTCACTGTTATCTTCCCGTTAACATAGTGTCACATACTTGGTCTGAGAACTAGACGAAAAAGCATGTAAAAGCCACTTAAATATTCATGTGCACTAATTAAAAAAGTGTTTCATCACCTCTGCCCATCAAAACCATATTGCAACCTTTAAGATAAGCAAAAAACACATTAAATTTTACAATTTGCTTCACATGTGTTTCCTTCTCTGCTTGGCTCCTAAATCCTAAGTAACCTGATGCCAATATTAATAAAGTGATGGTGATAAAAGCAAAGCACAGGGGTACACACACGCACACACACGGAAAGTCTTATGAACTCTTATAATCATTGTTTTGAACAGTTCATAGACTTCTTCACCCACCTTCTGACTAGCCAGGAAATGTCAGTAACACTGTTTAAAAAATAAAAAAATAAAAACCCCAGGATTCTGGAAGAGATTTTAAATGTGTTGAATGTGCATGTCTGGAAGGGAAAGATAAATAGCATGCCATTTCAGACAAACAGACAAAAGCAGTTTTATAATATTTTATTATCAATAACAAACAGCTACTTTAATATGATGTCTTTGTCCTGCAGCTGTTAAAGGGTGGGTAGGAGGACACCCTTGACCCCAACAAGGAAAACTCAAATTAAGCCTTTATATACAAGCAAATTTAGAGCTCTTTTATGTGTCCAAAGCCATTATTTGAGGCATTAAACTAATTCTGAATTAACATATTTGAATAACGAAAAAGTAAAATATTCAAATTTTTTCTAGTACAAAAAAATTATATTTGCTTTAGTTATAAAAGAGCTCTGTCAATATACACAAACTATATACTTCAGACATTCACAAAAATGTGAGCAGAAGGCTTATCAAAAGACATTTAATACAATTAGTTTTCAACAACCCCTTGGTGGTCCACATCTACAAAGATATCCAGCCCAACCCAACCTCCCTCCAAATCCCACCCCCACAGAAAAGCACATACTTACCAGAATTTTTAGCAAGTATGGTTTGCGAATTTGTGTGTGTTTTTTTTTTTAAAAGGCCCCCAGGGCAAGTTATTTACAGTTTAATTGCCACTGTCAACTGATCTGGACCTTGACCGGGACCGGGACCTGGACCTCTGGCGATCCACAGATGGAGACTTAGATCTACTTGAAGAACCACGTTTTTGGCTCTTCTCAGGCACAGGTGACCTACTAACAGAACGGGACTTGCTCCGGCTCCGGCTCCTGCTCCTTGACCGGCTGTAAGACTTGCGGCTACGAGAACGAGATCGGCTACGAGACCTAGAGGAACTCCTGGTCCGGGAACGGGATCTGCTTCTTGACCTACTAGGGAAAGAGAAAAAAAGAAAACCCACCATAAATTACAAGACTTACAAATCCTTTACTAAAATAGTGACTTGAAAGCATTAGAGATACCTGTGTCTTTTGCTGCCTTCAATTAATTTTATTTTTCTCCCATTTATTTCCTTTCCAGAAAGTTTCTCAATAGCATTCTTTAAGTCACCATAAGAGGCAAACTCAACCACTCTAAGATTAAAAAAAAAAAGCATTTATAGATTATACCATGTAGTCTTCCAAAGTACATACAGCAGTCCACATTAAGTAATGCTTCTACGCTTACTTTTCTACTGCTATCTTTAAATTTTGTTTCTTGATAAACACAGCATTAAAGCAGGATTTCTCAACCTCAGCCCTACTTACATTTTAGGCAAGCTAAGTCTTTGTTGTGGAGGACTTTCCCATGCATTGTACAATCTTTAACAGCCATCCCTAACTTTTACCTACTAGATGTCATCAGAACCCTCCCCTAGTTGTGACAACCAAAAATGTCTCCAAATCAAAAACTACTAAACCCACTGTCACTGAGTTGATTCCGACTCGTAGCAACCCCATGGGGAGAAAAATCGTCACTCATTAAGAACTACTGCATTTGAGCATGTCCAAATTTGAAAATCCTCAAAGATGTTCACAACATAACTTTCAAAATGTTTTAAAAAGCTTCCATAATCTCCAGTACAAACTCACCCTTCATTTAATTTAGGTCGATGTGCATCTGCAAAGGTTACTTCCCCAGCTTGTCTCATGAAATCTTTGAGATCCTTAACACAAGATAATTGTGTTAAGCAGAGAAAATGAAAGGTGACACACAAACAATCACAAGCTATAAAAACAAAGACTACTGAAAGAGAAGATGTTAGATAAAGTACAAACATGGCTTTTACCACACTTGTATTCTATCAGAATTCAAAATTTATCTATAGCAGGGCACGAAATAAGCAAAGAGCATATTGCTTTTAAGCAAAATGCTAGAAGAAATTCAGATTTTAACATTAAAATAGTATTAGTCTATACTGAGCTGAATACAAAAGAAAAACAAAAAAACAAAAACAAAAACAAAAAACAAAAAGAAACAGTACATTTTTTAAAGTAAAGACTAAAGCAGAAATTTTATATTTAAAAACAGAACATTTACAAGACACCAGTTATTTTGTGCCCCATATGTCATTAAAAAAGTTTACGTTACCTTTATTAACATTTCCCTAGGCTAGTCAAGCAGCAAACCATTTATCGGTCGGAGAAACCTTCACGACAAATGCCCGACTGGCTCTTCGCCACCCACTTGAAGGACACTACCCAATCGATGGAAGCCTTTATCGCACAGCCCTCCCTATTAGCAGCTACTGGCGGATGTAGACATGTTCTAATCTTGTGCAGTTACCAAGGACCACTTTACTGCGATCAGGATTCCAACGACCACCTAATTTCGAATCTTTCAACTCTTTGCGACCAGGACCTCTTATTCGGAAGCGTTACAGGAAGACCGCTCTCAACTTAGGGATCAGATCACGTTATCAACGCTCTGGGATCGCTGCAACCTGGCACTTCAAGTAAGTGCATCGATTACGTCTAGACCGGCAAACACAGATCTAGAGGTGGCCAATTGATCACTGTAGGAGCTGACTGGCAAAGTCAACCAGGCCCAACCAAGAGTGACCAAGACAACGATTAGGTAACCCACAGGCACTCCTCGTCATAAGGCCAACGACACAGATAGGCTGGCAAATAAAGGGTTTAATATTCGGTTAAAATTGATTTTTAAAAACATGAAAAAATATCCTCAAAACATTTACATTTGATCACTAAAAATTAAAATATCCCCCAGTTACATTTAATTAAAATTTTAAAATCACAATGCAATTAAACCCATAATTTAATTAAAAATAAAACTACTTTTAATAAAACATATTAAAACTTTATCTACCCATTAACTTTTTAAAAAGCCACATTGAAATAGCTCAAAACCATGTTTTAACAAACCTGCCAGCTGACTCTTGAAGATAAATTCTCAACTATAAGTCGATTTTCTGTCCTTACAGGTGGAGCATTTCTGAGGAAGAAAATGGGTACTCAAAATGGAAGAAATGCAGTGATGTATATTTACTGTGTTCAACTGGGGATAAGTTCAAGAAATCAGACATGATATGACATTCAAATGACTTCCATCATAGTTTCTACACTATTCTATAAGATTCATTACACGGACTCATCAGGAACAGTGTACAGATAACACAGAAATAGAAGAGAAAATGGTAAATCCTAGAATTACTACTAATGGTTCTTGAACCTTAAACTGTCCCTGCATAATGCTTGTACAAGGCAGCCATCCACCCATCCATCACATACCGTCTATCATTTCGAGGTCTGCGACTACTAAAACGGTCAGAGTAGCGTCCTCTACCCCTTCCACCTCGGGAACGAGCCCTAGCATGCTCAATCGTAACCCTACAAAAAGGGGAGGGAGGAAAAAAAATATTATACACTTAAGCTATATAAAAGACATACCTACCATTTTATTTAAAAAAAATCCCAGCTAACCTATTCTGCTTTATTTTCCAACGCTAACTAGTTATAAACTGAAAATGTTCTCGCCTTTCGCTGCAGAGTTCTTTTCCATCAAGTTCATATACAGCATCATCTGCATCCCTTGGATCCTCAAATTCCTAAAAATGTGAAAAAAATTAACTGCTTAACATGGCTTTAAAAGTGTAATCCACACCACATTAACAGCACTAAAAACGTGAGCGAATGGGAAGAAAAATATCTTAATGACACTGCCACAGACATAAAGCTAACCAAGGAGTGGCTGGGAGTGGGTTCCCTCCAGCCAGTAGTGAGGTTCTTTTATCCCGTAAGAAAGTCCCTTGCTTCAAAGTTGTCTAACACTAAAAATATTCTACCAAGGCTTAATAAGACCAAAAACACTGTTTATAAAAATCTTTGCTTAACGAAAGATGATAATTAAACTACTTAATACTTACCACAAAACCAAAGCCTCTTTTCAGATCAATATCTTTTATTCGTCCATACCCCTTGAAGAATCTTTCCACGTCTTTCTCCCTGGCCGCTGGATTTAGCCTCCCGATGAATACTCGACAGCCGCTCATGACGTCCGGCTAGTACTTCCTGTTAGAAAATAATTCTTTTCAATTGAGACAACACCAGTGAATATTAGAGGAAGGTCTGGTCAATGGGGCAAAAACATAAACGGCATAAAATAAAGTGTTTACCAGCTGATGTTATAAACAAGATTGCCAAGAGTGCCTCTTTTTAGGCCAGGTCCCTTGCAGACAAAATTAAAACTCGGCTGTCAACACGATCCTTCCCTGGGCCCAGACCGCAGCAACCGCAACGCCCACTGCCACCTCTCGAACTGCGCAGTCGCACACTCTCCCCGGCTCTTCTGGCCCCCTCCCATCTGCCGCAGTTAAGAAAGGCCGAGAAGTGCGGGCGGAGCCGACCCCGCCTTCCGCCAAGGCCAGCCCAATGGCGGCCGGCCGCGCACGCGTCGCCGCCTCCCGGGAGCGTCACAGCAGGTGGAAGCCGGAATCTCGCGACGCCAAAGCCGCGCCTGCGCAGACAGCGGCGGGCGGACCCTGGGCAGCCACAAAATGGCGGTCGCAGAGTCAGCGGTAGGGGACAGACGCGCGTGCCAAACTCCCTTCTCCCGCCCACTCCCCGACTCCACCGTTCCGGAGTCACTGTTCCCGCCCGCAAAACGCCCTCACCACACCCCGAGCAAAGGCATACACTCAAGGGGTTCCGATGAGATAAAAAAGAGGCGAGGAGGGGCACGCAACCTCCGTGTGAAATCGACCATAAACATTACCGCCCTTCCACCTTCAATACCCCCTCAAATACCAAAAGGGAAACGTGTCCCAGCGCCCACCTCGAACAAACTGTGGTCATTAGACGCCGTCCTCCGCAAAGAGGGCAGCCCTGGCTCCCCGCGATCTGAGCTGCCATGAAGAAGCCTCGATCCGAGAAGCCTTTCCCTCAAAGTGAGTCACTCACCTACCGGACGGGATCTTTGGCAGCTGAGACCCAGAGCCGTCCGTAGTCTGCAGTGGAGTCGTCTGCCTCCCCACAGACCAGGACTTGCCCACGTCTCTCCACAACTGACGCACTTATCAGTGCTAGCGTTCCACAAAATGGAGGGTGCGCTGTTACGTCACTTCCGGAACCGCCCCTGGGACTTCGGACCCCTCCCCTTTGGATCCAGGGTTGGGAATTTCAGCGGGACTGTAATGCCACAGCCACTCGCGGGAGAAAGATGTGGCAGTCGGCTTCCATAAAGATACAGCCTTGGAAACCCTATGGACATTTCTACTCTACCCTATAGGGTCACTATGAGTCACAGTCGACGAGCCGGCAAGAGGTTTGGGAGACTCCTTATCGGCGCACTGGAGGCTCTAGACGCGGTGGGCGGGGCCGAGGCGCGGGAAGTCGGGTGGGTGGGGGCGGGGGCGTGGCTGTCAGTGCTGGGCGCGGGAGGAGGAGTTTCTCTCATCATCGTGCACTTAGTAATGTGTTTGGACCAATGGCATCTTTTTTCTATCAAAAGTTCTTCTGTAGCTACCTACGCGACCCCTAAGGTTACTGAGTAAAGAAACTCAGAATTTGCAAAAATATCTGGTGATCTTGAGCACTGTGATCTTTCAAAGATTAATCTATGTGAAATTAAATTGGAAAGGTTAAATAAGAAGCTTAGGGAGCAGTGACTATAAGTATATTGATGACGGTGGAATACTTTGGAAAGTGATAGAATGGTTGCATAACTTGAATGTAAACAATGTCACTGAATTGTACATGTAGAATTTGTTGGAATGGTATATCCTTTCCTGTGTATATTTTCACAAAAAAAATAAAATTTAAAATATACGTATCTGGCAATCTCTGATCTCTTGCTTCATGCAACTTAAGGTTGCGTTTTGGGGGAGGGGTGCTCCTTGATGCTCAAGTGAATTATTTTTTTAACCACACCATGGCGTGTGATTTAGTTGCAGTGAGAAGACTGAGGAAATGAGCAGCTGGTGGATTCCAACTGCCAAACTTGCTTAGCAGCTGAGCTCTTAACCGCTGCGCCATCAGGGATCTCGGCTGCTAACCAAAAGGTCGTCAGTTCAAATCCACCAGCTGCTCCATGGAAACCCTATGGGTCAGTTCTACTCTGCCCTATAGGGTCGCTACGAGTCAGAATCCACTGGACGGGCAATGGGTCATCTTTAGCCATTAGCCGTGTAAAGGAGCCCTGGTAGTGTAATGATTAAGCCCTCGGCTGCTAACCAAAAGGCCTTTCTGTGGGAGAAAAGACCTGGCAAAAAGATTATAGCCTAGGAAACCCAATGAGGCAGTTTACTCCGTTGTATAGGGTCGCTATGAGCAGAACAGGGGCTTACCTTGCCTATTAGATAGTATAGATTATCCAGTAAGCAAGGTAAGCACGGTCATCTGTTATTAGGTGCCGCCGAATCAGCTCTGATTCATAGCCCCGTTATGTACAACAGAACGAACCACTGCCTGGTCCTGCACCATCCTCATAATTGTTATGCTTTAGCCCATTGTTGTAGCCACTATGTTAATCCATCTCCTAGAGGGTCTTCCTCTTTTTTACTGATCCTCTACCAAGCATGACGTCCTTCTTCAGGGACTGATCCCTCCTGATAACACGTCTAAAGTAAGTGAGACATATTCTCACCAACCTTGCTTCTAAGGAGCATTCTGGCTGTACTTTTTCCAAGACAGATTTGTTCATTCTTCTGGCAGTCCATGGTATAATCAGTATTCTTCACCAACACCATAATTCAAAGACATCAGTTCTTCTTTAGTCTTCTTATTCATTGTCCAGCTTTTGCATGCATATGAGATGATTGAAAACACCATCGCTTGGGTCAGGCACACCTTAATCTTCAAGGTGACATCTTTGCTTTTCAACATTTTAAAGAGGCGTTTTGCAGCAAATTTGCCCAATGCAGATTGTCTGTAGTGAATGATTTCACATTTTTTCACATCAGAGATTCTGTTGCTAGGTATGGCTGGCATCTGTCTCTCTCCCAGCCTCACAGCAACTTGTTACAGCATCAAAGTCTCTTTTCAAATGTACAGTCCCTGACAGGGACGGATTACCCAGTAAGCAAGGTAAGCACAGGCTTACTTGTGCTTACTAGTCTGTGGTGAACAATTTCATATAAGTAATAAGCCCATGCTTACTTTGCTTATTGGGCAATCCACCGCTGAGTCGGAATCAACTGGACGGCAGCGGGTTTGGTTTTTTGGTTTTAGCTGCTAGCCTAGCAAACATTGGCATTTTATAATGCACAAATTGTCCCAACCAGTGTAGGTCTGGTGGCGCAGTGGTTAAGAGTTCATCTGCTAACCTAAAGGTTGGCAGTTGGAATCCACCAGTCAGTCCTTGGGTTTTGGAGCAGTCTCTGACTTTTTTTTCTACGTTTTGGATTGACTATGGAAGCAACTGCTCCTGATTTTACTTTGTCCAAGTTATATTTAGTGCACTAAGAGTAAGTAATCTAGAAAAGGTTTGGAATTTGGAAAAGAATGATGATGCTATAAAAACCGAAAAAACCAAACTGTTGCCGTCGAGTTGATTCTGACTCACAGGCCCCTATAGGACGGTGTAGAACTGCCCCATATGGTTTCCAGGGAGCAGCTGGTGGATTCCAATGCTGACCTTTTGGTTAGCAGCCATAGCTCTTAACCACTGGGCCACCAGAGTTCCAATAGTGCTATATACCTTGGAAGAAGTTGCTGCCTTTATCCCATGGTGTCATGATTTTCTTCAGGGAGAAAAAAAGGTATAAAGCCTTTTCTCTTGATTTATTCACTGTTAAAGTTTGTGATTTTTCATTAGTTTCTAGTGTTTTAATCCACTCATTTTAAAACATATTTATTTTTCCATGATGACTATCTAATGTCAAGTCTCCCTATAGGGTTGTTTCTTACGAATTTCTCTAATAAGCACAAAGTCATTTCCCATAAGGGGAATTAATCTTCTGCCTATGTGAGCCTATAATATAGTGTTTATGCCCTATAATTCTCTCATCACTGACATATTAAAGATATGTATTATTCGTGTCTTTGTTTTCCAGAAATGCCTAGCACAGTAAATACTCAATATTTGTAGACCTGGATTTACATTAATTAGCATTTTCTTCAGGTAGTCCTGTTTTTCCAATATTAATGTTAACAAAATGGCTCATATCTTTTCCCTAAGGATATCCAAAACCTGTTGCCGTGGGGTGGATTTCAACTCTTAGAGACCCTATAGGACAGAGTAGAGCTGCCCCATAGGGTTTCCAAAGAGCGGCTGGTGGATTCGAACTGCCGGTCTTTTGGTTAGCAGCCAAGCTCTTAACCGCCGTGCCACCAGGGCTCCAAGGACATCCAAGTGAGTAGTAAATCTCTTACCTTTAGTAAAGGAAAAAAGATGCAAAGAAATCACAGATGAAAATAACCATCAAGTTTATTGGCCATCTCTGCTGGGGACTTTCAGCATGCAGTTGTGTTTTATTCATTGCAATCCTGATCTCATCTAACTCAGGGTCTGACAACCAAAGTCTGTGGGCCTAATCTTGCCCAATACCTGTTTTTGGAAAGCCTAAGAATGATTTTTATATTTTTAAATGGTTGGGGGGAAAAAATCAAAAGAAGGATAACATTTGATAACACCTGAAAATTACATGAAATTCAAAGATTGGTATCCATAAATAAAGTGTTTTTGGAACCCAGCCACTCCCGTTCATTTACCTGTTGTCTGTCTGATATTGCGATAGAAGGGCAGGGCTGAGTAGTTGCAGCAGAGACTGTATGGCTGGCAAAGCCTAAAATATTTACTATCTGCCCCCTTACAGAAAAAGTTTGCCAACCCTGAGCTAACTGATTGCTAGACTTTAAACTGCTCTGTGAATGCCCCACCCAACTCCCTTTGTCAGAGAATAAAACCATAAACAAGAAAAAAGTTTATTTCATTCCAATTAAAAGAAATATATTCTCGTTAGAGGAAAATTCTTCAACAGAAAAAAAAAATTGAAAGAAAAGGAATCCCATCTCACCAAATCAACCTCTGATTAGATTTTGGTATATTTCCTTGTCATTTTTTCCCCTGAGTATTTTATGTTTTCTTTTCCAATTTAAAAGTAGTACATCATTGTTTTTTTAAAACCTGGGAAAAAATTAAAAATTACAGATACAAGAATTTATAAAATCGTTCATATCCCAACCCTTAAGGGATGACTGCTTAGCATTTTTTTAATCTCCCTTTAGTGTTTTTTCTGCAAGCACAAGTGTATTTTCAAAATATGAATCATAAATGTAATTTGGTATCATGAGTTTTTTTGATTCATAAAACTTAATTATGGGCATTTTCCATGTCTCTCTGTTTTAATATAGTTATGATCACAAGTCTGTATTCAAATTTGTATCTGTTTTTCCACTGAACATCAGACTATAATATGGGCATACATTCATTCTGACCAGCTATTCTGTTTTTCTGAAAATATCCTAAATATCATCAGGTGCTTAAAAGTTCCTATCCAAAAATCCCAACACTCTTAAAAGTGCCATTCATCCTTGCTTTAGGCTAATAATTCTAAAGATTTCTTCGAAGACCAAGT